TATATATATATATATTAGCATATTGATAAATTTAATAATTTTCAAATATCTAAAGCCAATTGCATGACGATATCCTCACACAATTATCATTTAACAGTTATTTATATAAAAAAAGGGTAATTACATACATGACACTCACAACTTTCTCCTTAACAAAACTAGCACCATCTTCATCAATATTTCAAACACCCAATCAAATATTAAAATTCACAATAAAATCCTAACTCATAATCTTCACTCTTATCAAATTATCAATGATTTGATAGTGACAAATTTGAATGCTCCCGTTAGGTAGTTTTAAAAAAAATTAAATTGAGAGCTAGTTCTATAAATAATAAAGTTGTATTATAATATATTTTCCATTTGATAAAATTCAGTTATTCGGACAGTTATCATAATCGTTCCTTTTTTTTATAACTGTATTTTAAGCCCCTATAAATAGGCCTCACTCGACTTTCCAACTTTCTTTTTTCTCCTCTCAGCTCTATCTCTCAGCTCTATCTCTCAGCGCGTGTTCCTCGAAAGACTATTTAAAATTCAACATTATAACTATTTCTCGACCTTCAAACTTTGTTAGCGCTGATCCGTCCTTTTAATTTTAGCTTAAATATCAAAATTCATAGTAAATTGTGACGAGCGCCGGCTTTGTAGTTAAAATAATTGATGAGCGACCTTATTTTCTAAATAAATAAGATGCTAGTTTTATAAATAGGGAAATTCAAAGTTCTATTTATGTAATTGCCTCAAACAGATATCTTCTATAAGTATACCATAATTGTTTTGTTAGCGATTTATCCGATCGTCCCCTCCCAGCCAGCGATCGTGCGCAATTTTCTCTGAAAATTAACGTCCCAAAAAAAAAAAAAAATAAATAAAATAAATAAAAAGAACCAGCACACATCACACACGTGCGATCGTGGGCCCATTTCCGGCTGCGCTTATAAGTCGCTCCGCGGATTTTCATTTATATTAGGAACCCTTTTCTTCTTGTTCGGTCACATTCCTCCTACAAAAACCCTAATCCCGCCTTCATACCCCACTTCTCAAAACCCTAATTACATTCCCTGATCCCTTCGATGACAGATATGGCAACAGAGCGCGCGGCGTCGTAGCCATTCCCTTGCGGAGCGATATAAAGAAAGGTTTCCGAACAACGCAGCGATGGAGAGCGGAGCGAGTACCTCCGTCAACTGCTTTCCGGAGGAAGGCGCTGTTTCCAGCAAGGAGGAGAGGAAGAAGGGAAAAGGTGGGTCAAGATCGGCCTGGAAGAAGCCGGCGTCGTCACCGACGTTGTCGCCGGTGGCTGGAGAGGCGAGGAAGTCGGAGTGTCAGCTTACTGTTGCGGATGCTTGGCCGGCTCTCGGGGATTCCAAACCTCATGTAAACGTCGAAGCGGGTGGAGGGATGGCTGCGCCACCTCATGTTGGAGCCGCTAATGCAGGACCGGTTCCGAGAAGTGGACCGCCTGGCGCCCCTCCTCTTAACTTGCAGGTAGATTTCTTTTCTTTTTCTTGTTCTAGCGATCCCTCCAAAAGTGGTAACGTAGAAGATTCTTCTCAGTTATTTAGCATTATATTTTTTAAGCAATCAAATCTGGATCATGCGAGATGGAGGGAATGAAATCGAAGTTTCCCCATAAGGTTATGGGGATAATATCTAATTTGTTTAATCTGATGGTGTATGAGTGTTATAATTGAAATTGTTATGTTTTAAACATAATCCTCCAGCTGCACAGGGCGTTTTGGGCCATCTATCTGCAGACCATTGTGTAGTAGTCAATTCCTTCTCGGTTTTTCATTCTTAGAGATGATAATATTAATTTTTTTTGAAATGGAAAACTTGTCTGTCCACAATAAATGCTCTATGTGGTCACCATCTATTTTTCTTCCAAATAATGCTAAAACCAAGCTTTTTGTCAAAAATTCCATTCCTATTTGACATCGTGCATTGATATCCACAATTTTAACATTATATTACACACCCTTACATATTATTTATTATAAATTTCTGGATACATATTTATGAGAGGACGAGCAGGATAACTATTCATGAAGGAGATTTATTATTATCAATATCATCATCATCACATCATTATTATTGTGTTAATAATAATAATAATATTATTATTATCTTAACCTCTTCCTCATGGTATCAATTATTTAAAACATTATTTAGCAAATGCTGATAATTTTATCAAACAGCATGCCTGTGAATCTCATGAATTAACATGAGAAAGCATGGCATATTAAAAAAAAAAAAGCTGATGATATTAACCTCTTTGGAGTTCATGAAAGGCTAATATGAAGTTTTAATGCATCTAGTTTGTCATTTCACTTCGGCTAAAGAATGACCATTGTTTCAAAGAAATTAAAACAATCTTCTAGGTTCAGATGACACTCAAACAAGTATGTTTTAGGTAGCGAAGTGTTTGTTATGTGGGCTGTGTTGATGAGAAGGGATAAATAATGTCATGAAAATTTCATTGAAGTGACATTAGCTTTTAGATATGTTAGACGTATTCCACAATTTTCCTGTTGTTGAGTAGATTCCTCAAGTGCTTTGAACATGAAGATTTAAGTATTGCAACCATTGGTGTCATTTTAATTGTACATTACATATTTGATTGAGATGACCTGTATGTGTTTAAGCTATTCTTTGATGGTTAGTGCTTAATATGTAAGTAATTAGTAATTGATTTATAATCAACAATTTTATATTGTTAATTGCTATGAGTGAAGCCCTTCTTCTTTTTTCTTTTTGGCTAAATGCAATCCATGTAGCATTATGCAGTTTGGCCTTGTAAATGTGTATTTGAAACCCAATATCATCTAGTTGCTAAGCTAGTTTATTAGTAACTTGATGTGATGCTTTTTTTTTTCTTCTTTCTTCTTATTTCTTTTATTTGTTATATTTCTAGTCATATTTTCTCCCAATTTGACATAGTTGGATACTTTCAATAATTTTACTTCATTTCATGATAACAAAAATACTTGAACTAAATGAAATTTTTGAAAATGTATTATATGATATTGTGAGGTTTTAATTTTGAAAATTGTATATTAAAATAATTTTATTGATGGGCATTATAGTTTGTTGTTCAAAATGACTTGCAATGAATTGGTTAACCATATTGATGATTGCAGGACTAGGGATTCCTATCATAAATTTTATGTTGCCATTGCCGAATTATTGTCCTTTAAACACATTCTTCTCTTAAAGCCTACCTCAAGGACATTTGCTTTCCTTTTCTTCAGTTGTTTTGTATGCAAATGAAAATTTTAAAGAATTATTGGCCACATGATGTTTACTTATGGTCAATGGGCGTGCATATGCAACAAGAATGGTGAGGGCATTGCATCAAAAACATTGTTCAAAGCAATTAAATTAATTATTTTGCTGTTATATGATTATTTTAAACATTATATCTTTTTTAATTAAGAATAATTTAAAATATGTTATAAAATATAAGTAATTTTATTTAATTCATCGTTGATGCTTTTATATATCATACTACCTAGTAAAGCAAATCAAAGTAGATATCTTGAATCTTATAGGAACTGACATATTTCCACGCAAAAAATTGGGTAAATAGTATTTTATTGCAAGAGCATCAAACATTCAAGACGAATACAAAGATAAGCACCTACAATTCGAGAGTTGGGCGATCTCTCCTAATTCATTCAATTCGAGGGGTAAGAAATCACTCCCAAACCTTAATCCTAAGATACAAATCCCAATCTTATGCATGCCCCCAACCCTAAACATATTAACCTTATTTATACTCATAACAATAATAATAATAAAAGGCTAAATTGCTTTTATTCTAATAAAAGACAAAATTGCCCTTAAGCTAGGCACTTGTAGAAGCACATTGTCGTCAAGGTGGACAAAAGAAAATTGTTGCTCGATCGAGCTCCCCTGTTTCTTCATCACAAACAACAAGAGCCTGTAATGTCTTATCTTTGTAACAGTGACCTCGACCAAATTTTTAATCAAACCAAAAATATAATATTTTCGCTCTCTTATTCTAAATCTGTCTCCGTAAGATGCTCGGTCGCAACTCATTATTCATGTCTCAAGAAGCCTCTCTTTGGACTTTCACTATTTGAGTTTTTGTGTATCTTTGTGATTGTAGCATTTTGACAGGACAATTCACTCGTGATGCTCTTATTAGTCTGTTCAATCGCATTTTTATCTTTAACTAACTGCGCTAATTTCATAATTTCTCTCAGTTTTTGCACTGTTAATGGACTAAGTGTTGCATGTATCTCGGGTCTTAGACCTTTCATTGAATCCCCCTCTAATAGTCCTTTAGAAATCCTTCTCAATTATCTCAAAAATAGCTTGAATCTCTTTCTATATTCCATGATAGTTTCCTCCCGAGTCAAAGAGAAAAAAATTGCTCATGTAGGTCTCATTCTCGAATGACTCAGAAATGTTCCTAAAAATAATCTTTAAATTCCTTCCAGAAGCAGATTAGGTATTAGCCTCCCTACACTAAAATCTTGCTAGGGCTTTCCTTTCCAACTATAAGCCTTCCACCATGAGCTTTTCATCCTTATTTAGCAAATACACCACATAATATCACTCTACCCAGTACACCACCTATGTGTGTTTTTCCCCTCGAAGGTCGACATTTTCCGCTTCCTAACCCTAGCATCACCACTCAACTATACCGCCCTCTAGTGTTTCCCCCCATGTATTTACAAAAATATTTCCTCTATCGATTATAGTCATATCCTTTCCTAGCTTCTCTCCTTTGTACTACTCTATACCCCTTGCATAATCTCTTTTTCATGTATCGAACCAATCCCTTCCTCAAAAATCTCGCCCATTTAAGCTATAGGAGGGGATTCTTGATGGTGGATGCTCTAATCATCATGTTTCTCTCTTGCAAGCTCTTTTCTTTTAGATTTATCCAAGGATTATCTGATCACCCTTGGGTTAGGGTTTGCAATTTGAACCGCCAGCGTGGTCTTAGATTCTATCTAGATATGCCTCCTCATTTTCTCTTTCAAGCTCTAGAATCAATTTTCAATGGAGGAAAACATCTCTTCTAAACTAGATTTAATTTGGCTAATCTCTTCCTCCAGTTTTTTCTCAAACATATCTGTTTTTTGGTCGCCATTCTTCTCAAAAACATGATTCGATTAGGAAAGATTAACTACTGTATTATGAAATCTCATTGTCTGAATCACGTATGTACTGAGAGCTCGTAAACCCCTCATCTGCGTCACTTTCCCAGCTAGCACTTAGTGGTTGTATCACAAGACTTCGTTTCCCTGGCCTTTTACGCCTCGATTCTGAGGTTTCTTCTGCTCGATCATGTTTGTATCACAAGATACCATGTCGTGATCTCGTCGTTTGCATTCTGGGATAGTGTCGCAACTAAGGCATTCCTATTGTTGCTTCAGGTCACAAATGCAGCTTTTATATGTTGCGATCCTTTCAGTCTTCCACGCAAGCTCCAATCACATGATGTATCAAGAGTTTCAGTCACATCTGTAAGCGCCGATCCAATCGTTGGCTCCTGACTAGTTCAATTTGTGACCGAATCTCAAATACGATGCATACAACGAAAGGAAACAAACTGTGGGTTTCTGGATCGTTCGGCTCTTATATCAATTTGATAGGAGCCGACATAGATTTCACACAAAAGTAGGTTAATAATAATTTTTTTTTTTCGGCAAAATCATCATAGACTTAAGACAAATATAAAGATAAGCACCTGCAATTCGAGAAATAGATGATCTCTCACAATTCCTACAATTCGAGAGATACGAAATCTCTCGCAAACTCTAACCCTAAAATGCAAGTCCCAACTCATACATGCCTAACCCCAAACATGTTAACTCTATTTATACTAATAACAACAATAATAATAAAAGTAAGTTGCCCTTATGCTAATAAACGATAAAACTGCCCTTTGTCGATGCACCGGCGTAACATAATCATGGGTGTACTAGCAATTACCAATTCACATTTATTTTGACCCGTATTAGACCATTAATTCGATTTATTTGTGCTACAGTGGTTATTCCAATAATCTCATGCATCAGAAACATTGTTCAAAGCCTTACTATTCTGCAATTGTTGTAATTAACAGCTCTTTTTATATTTTGAATAATATTAAACCTGCTACTAATTCTTTTAAATAATTTCGTATAGTTTATCTTCCATGCTCTTATATATGATACAAGCGAATTAAGCAAAGCAAAGTGGATTTATTTGCATGAATTATCTTGTTCCAGCAGTCCAATGGATTTGAGTTTGATGCTTAGAAGATGTTTATTCACAGGGATCAGCTAGCCAGCGGAGGTCTGAAGGATTCGGAAGTGGCAATCCTTCAAATAAACACCCACTTGTACATCCTCATAAAGCTGTCCCTAGGCGTAATGGGCCTGCAGCTGGAGCTACTCCACTTTCTGGTCCTTTTCCATTTCCCCAGCAGCTGGTACCCCCTGTATCATATCCCATCGTACCTCCACCATCTCTCATTGTGCCAGAATATACTTATCAGGCTTTTCCTCCACCTTTTCCAAGTGAACATCAAATCGTAAAATCTGGAGTTGATGTTTCAGTACCACCCTTTGCTCGAAATAGTCAAGTTGGTGGGATTGAGAATAATAGAAATTTTCAGCCGCTGTCACGAGGAGATTTCAATATCTGGCGTCCCCAAAGTGCTAACAATGTTTACCATCCTAATAATAGTCAAGAGCCTGCCGTCCGTTTTAATCAAGCATGGCGCTCACAGCGACCTTTTAGTCCAAGAGACAACATGAATATGCCCCAAGGCTTCGGACCAAGAACATTTGTTAGGCCGGTTCCACCTTATTTTGGTCCATCATCTGGTTTTATTGGTGGGCCTGGTTACTATGGTATTCTCTCAAACATGTGAAACTTGCTTGTTCATTTTACGTTCCATTGTTTTTGCATGCTTAATCTTTTTTAAATTCTGCACATTGCTTTCATCTTGTCATTTCTTGATTTTGCTGATTGGACTTGGTTTGCAGGTGCTCCTCCTCCTGTCTGTTTTTTCCCTGCTGGGCCTGTGGATTTCAGCAGGGGTCCTCATTTAATTTCAATAGTACCACCACCTCCACCACCACCTCCGGCTCCTCCTGTTACTTCTCTGTCATCAGAGGAACAAACATTAAGGACTAATATATTAAAGCAAATTGAATATTACTTCAGGTGGGTTTTTCATCTTAATTTATATTTTTTTATTCTTGGCCACTTCATTGCAGGGAAAATCTTGTGCGCTGCAGAGCTTGTATTTTTTGCTTTCTTATGGATGCTAACTATTAAGTTTGGAACTATATATTTTCTTGACCAGTTGTTGTCCTCTCTCCCAGTTATTCCGTAGTCATTATCAAAACTGCTTTGATTTGTGCAGTGATGAGAACTTAAAAGATGATAACTACCTTCTATCTTTGCTGGATGAGCATGGATGGGTATCTATTCGGAGAATTGCAGATTTCAATAGGGTATGCTTTATCTAAATGCAGATTAGTTCTTTGATGTGCGATAAGCATCTGTTGTGTATTTTATTTTGTTTTTTTCACAATTTTCCTGCAGCTTAAGAAAATGACTAGAAGCATATCCTTAATATTGGATTCCCTACAAAGCTCTAATTTTATAGAAATTCAGGTTAGTAATTTTGATTTGATGTGCTTGAACTTCCATGCTCATCACCCTTATCTACTGAAACTGCGGAAATTTCTTTTCTAATCAATTTATCATGAATTTTAAAAGGGTGAGAAGATTAGACGAAATGACTGGTCAAAATGGATTCTTAGATCCAAGTCACAATCTGCTGATGCCAAACTTGCGGCGAGCATTGATGACAATATGAAAAACAATGATCATGAAGGAGATGTGATTAACGAGGGTACTTGCTCACAAGGAAATTGTAATGAGAAAAATAACCGCTTGCTCTCAGAGAATGACCAGTCTAAAGAAAATGCTAATAGCGGAAGCTTTGCAAGGGACAATGTTGAAGTTCAGACTACCTGTGACCCTCTTCAGGGCATTGATACGACAGAAGATGAAATTGGTATACTTTTTTTTTCTTTATGTTTAGAATTAATGAGCATGTTTCTTCCCCATATGATAATATAGTTGGCACAACCTTTCCTCTTGGATCATATATCATACCAAACGTGTCATTTCTTAAGGTTTACGACAAACTCCTAGTCCTTCAAATGGTGCTAGCTTTGAATTTGATGATGAAAAGGAAGTAGCTGAAGAGCATCACATGTCAAATCTGAAAAGCTCTTCAATTAGTTTTGCCGATTTATCTTCCAGCTTTTCAGGTGAACTGAGCACTTTCTTGCTTGATGAAGAGATGGACCAGAAGGACCACCATTCTTTACAGAAAAGGTAACATTTGATACTGCAGCTTTTTGCATTGATAATCCCTTGCATTTTTATTTCTTTTTTAGCTTGTCTAAAGATGAAGTTAGTAAATGAGCTGAACCTCTTTCCTTTTTTTATTGCTCTTTTTTTTATTTTGGGTTTATATGCATCCTTCAGTGTATGCTCTAGTGTGATAGAAACTAAGGGTAATTTATGATATATTCCATTGTCTTGTTCAGCAGTCATATTTCTTGAAACAATTCCTTTTATATCACACAAACCACTTCAATTGTTTTGAAAATATAAATACTTCTATTTTTAATGACAAATATATGGAAGAACTTGTCAATGGTTGAAGATGCAAAGAAAACACCATAAAATAATTGGAAGGTGCCCCATGTATTGCAAAGATAGCCTCTTCCAGGAGAATTTAAGGGAAGCTTTGGACCCACGTTAATCGCCAAATAATACTTAGGCATTTGTTTATTTTATTATATCTTTTGATCACTTCTAATATTTTATTCAGACTCCCGTATTTAGGTATGCACGGAAGGTTGTGAGTTTGAAGCTGTATAATTTTGCACTTGAATTGCATTTATGATATGCCCATGATAGCAAAGATGCGTCCCTGCATGTTCATGTAAGTTTAGATTCTTGATGATTTTGCGTTTATGTTAGCTCAATGGCTTTGTGAGATTCAGGCACATGAGCTTTAATCTCATCATCTATCATAATATCTTTCGCCTGCGGTAGTTGGCATTAGGCGGAGTTGGGTTCCGGATTTTCTCAAAGGTTACCAAGTTTTTTTTTTTTTAAATTTCTGATGTTTGTACTTCTAAACTAATATAAGTGTGGGCTTTTACTTTTATGTACTGGACTGATCATTTATTTATTTTGCTTGTTGTTTGAAGTGTTCCATCATCTATCATTCTAAAAATTTTTATCATGGTTTGATTTTTCATCCATCTCCAACACAGTTTTTTATGCTGTCATCCTTTTATTCAAATTAATGTAAAGTTGAAACCAAAAGCAATTAAATGTTGCTATATATATATCATGTGAACACTGTTTCCCTTACACATCAAGATAACCCTAGCATCCTCAGTGGTGGAAAAATGGTACTTTAAGAAAATGGGTTTTTTCTTCTATATGCCTATTATATGAAAATAAATAAATCAACATGTTCCTGCATCCATTTCTTCCTATTAAAGTATAATTGAAGTTGATGATTTGTGGAAGACCCACATATAGTTTCCTAAAATACTCATTAGGAACACAATAAGATTCATAATATTTGAACTTAGAAAAGAACATTCATGGTAAATCAAGATGATAGCAAGTGAATGTTTAGGGTTGTTTAGGCGGCTTTCCTTCGAGTGCTTGAGCCAAAAAAAAAAAAAAGGAGGTTTTATATTCAAGTATATCAGAATGAAATTTTATTAGAGGAACTAGATGGCACATTTACTAATTTACATTAAGAATGCAAGAAATTGAGAAATAAGTTTCCAAATTAGAAAAATAACATGAAAAATTTGCTATGCACTATAAAAAATAATTATAATGTTTTGAAGAAGAAAAATGTATCCTGGCTTGTGATCTTGCTTTATTTATTTCAAAGTTAGATATTATTTTTAAATTTTAAATTAAATTATTTTAAAATTTCATTAGGTTACCAACAAAAATCATTTTTCCTGATAATGCTCATCACACATAAACAACCACCACGCAAGGTCATAGCACTCACCATTGAAGTACTCCATGCTCTATTCGGTTATTTAATGAAGAAATATATTGGGAGCTCAACATGTTTATGTTTGTGTCCATCTTCAAATTATGTACTTTGTGCTCTAACATATGTTGTGTTTTAATGATTGACATCTTTAAGTACTTAATTATAAGATGAATATGCATGTAATTATGTATGTTCTGTATATCAAATTATGAAGATGCATTCATGATTGTCACAAAAGTTACTACAAGTGGTAGTTATGAATACAATCTTGGGTGGAAGTGATGTGTATAAAGATGCATGTTCTCTATAATTTGATTTTGAAAGACGATCTAATTTATAGCCTCTAATAGAATATTCTTTTTAAAGATTTTTCTTCTTTAAAACACTGTAACCCCTTTTCCAAACATAATTAATTTTTTTTCCAAAATTTGAAATCATGACCTTGGGTGGCAGTGAAATAAATGAAGCATGAACAAAATATTTTCAAATTATCATATCTCATCTTGAAATTCTTATAACGCATATCTAAAATTGTATGATTTTTTTTTTCTAATTTTGAAAATTGTTTCTCTTTTTTTGTATTCTTAAAAGTAGTAAACTGATGTTTTAGTTTATCATATGGAATTTCTTTCTTTTATACTTTATCACAAGTCATCTTCTCTAGCGTGAAAAGTATATCAGTATATGCATGAAATTATGTATGTTTTGTATATCAAATTATGAAGATGCATTCATTATTATCATAATAGTTACCACAAATGGTTGTTTTGCATACAATCTTGGGTGGAAGTGATGCGTATAATGATGTTATGATGAACATGTGAATAAGAATAATTTTTTTAGCATGTTCTCTATAATTTGAAAGATAATCAAATTTAGTCTCTAATAGAGTATTCTCTTTTTAATTTTAAAAATAGATGAAGCCTGGTCCCATGTAAAAATTTTTTTTCTTTAAAACACTGTAACTCTTTTTTCAAACATAATTGAAATGTTTTTTTTTTTTTTTTGAAATCACGACCTTGGGTGGTAGTGAAGTAAATGAAGCATGATCAAAATATTTTCAAATTATCATAGCTCATTTTTAAATTATTATAATGCATATCTACAATTGTATGATTTTTTTTTCAAAATTTGAAAATTATTTTTCATTTATTGCTTTCTTAAAAGTAGTAAACTGATTTTTTATTTCATCATATTTAATTTCTTTCTTTTATACTTTATTACAAGTCATCTTCTCTAGCATGAAAAGTATATCAGTATATGCATGAAATTATGTATGTTTCATTATTATCACTAAAGTTACTAAAAATGGTAGTTTGGCATACAATCTTGGTTGGAAGTGATGTGTATAATGATGTGTATAATGATGTGTATGATGAACATTTGAATAAGAATATTATTTTAGCATGTATCTAATTTAGCCTCTAATAGAATATTATTTTTAATTTAAAAAATAGATGAAGCCTGGTCCCATGTAAAGATTTTTATTCTCTAAAACACTAATACCTTTTTCAAAAATAATTTTAAATGTTTTTATCCAAAATTTGAAACCATGACCTTTGGTGGTAGTGAAATAAATTAATCATGATCAAAATATTGTCAAATTATCATAACTCATCTTTAAATTATTATAATGAATATCTAAATTGTATGATTTTTTTTTCTAATTTTGAAGATTACTTCTCATTTTTTGTTTTCTTAAAAGTAGTAAACTGATTTTTTAGTTCATCATATGGAATTTCTTTCTCTTAGACTTTATTACAAGTCATCTTATCTAGCATGAAAAGTATATCAGTTTGTGTTTCTCTTCTCTTCTGTTTTGAGGGATGGACTGCTTCTATGACAATTAGACTTGGATCATAAGGCCTTTCTTCCATCCTTATTGTGCCTTTTCTTGTCTTTTTTCATCTACCTTTTTGTTATCAATTAAATGTTGGCAACCCGACTTAACTTGCCCATGGTATGCCTTCACATGTAGAAACTTGTTACGTTGTAACTTGTGATTTTTACTTGTTCCATATATTGTGTTTCTTTACCATTCATTGATCATAATCTTCTAAATAACTTGACTAAGTTGCCACCATTATGAACTAGTTAATTTTTCTATTTCTAATTTCATTACTTCCTTAATATACTAATTTTAACTTATCCTAAATTTTATTAATGGTTATAACACTATGACTCTCATGTAATCTTCGGGTTAGAGAGTATTATATAAGCTATGGAATATAGTTTGTTGAGTTCTACCTTGCTTGAAGTTTATTTCAAGAATATAAAACTTATAAAGCAATTCTATAAAATTTGAAAGAAAATAATGTAGGATATAACAATTTGATTTAACATAAATATAGTTGAGAAAATTAAATGAAAAATGAAAAAAGTACAAAGTGATCTTCTAAACATATTTTATTTTTCTAGCAATTTCCAAAAATTTTGCGTACAATGTGGGATAATTTTTTATCATTGCTTAAATCTACACGAGAAAAAAAGTTTGCTTTGTGAAGCATTTAATGGATTTTATGGATGACTTTTGCGGTATTTTATTGGCCCATTTTAATAAAAAAAAGTATGAAATATTATTGTAAGCTAACTTTTGTATTTAATACCGTAGCCATTCCTAATACTAGTTGTTTTAATGCATTAGCAAAAATGTAGACATTGGATCCCAAATTGTGAATTGTAAGTTACTGGAATATGCTCAAGTTATAGGCTTTAATGTGTACCAAACAAACAGTGAATATAAGGAATAAAATAGATTTTTAATCATAACTTAAAACATTGTTTTTGAATAGAAATTGAAAGAGATTTTGCAATGTCTTAAATATTTTTTTCATCCGATATCAAGGTTGAGGAATTGTATGCTCATTTTGATTCATAATTAATATTAAAAGTAAATTGTGGAATTTATTAGGAACTTTCTTGGAGGAAAAAAAAACTCTAATTTTCTCATTAAGCAAATAGCAAATATATATACAACTCAAGCTAGCCCTCATACAATTGGTGGGAAATTCAAATCATCATGATGAGAAGAAAAAAATAAAAACACAATAATGGATAATTAAAGGAGAATAATTTCTCCCTCTCAAATGTAACAACGGATCAATAGTTTCCTAAACCGTATGTAGACCCATGTGATCCTCGGTTATAGGTATATCAACATAAATAACAATTGAACTTTTTTAGTTGGAAGGGATAAACTAGTTTTTTATGATGCAATAATGAATATGTATGTGGTATAATCTAATGGGATATGGATGGAATAGATTGTCCATTTTTTGTTTAATTTTAGAACTTGTAATTTAACGAGTTAATGATATACTCCCTATGGAGCATCCTCATAAATAACAATTGAACTTTTTTAGTTGGAAGGGATAAACTAGTTTTTTATGATGCAATGATGAATATGTATTTGGTAGAATCTAATGGGATATGGATGGAATAGATTGTCCATTTGTTGTTTAATTTTAGAACTTGTTATTTAACGAGTTAATAATATACTCCCTATGGAGCATCCTTTGTATCTCGTTGGTCATATTTTATGTTCATTTGAGTATTGAATAAATGAATTTACGAAAAAAATTCTTACAATCATTTAGTAATTCCTGCAATCTCATGCTGAAATCACACATGATGAATTGTAGAATCCCCATGCTTACCTTTACTATCTTGAAAGGTTAATTCGGGTTTGTTTAGCAAGAATACACTTATCATGCTTGAGAAATATTTTTATTTTTATTAATAAATATATTTCTATATATGGTTTTTTGGTAATAGATGTAAGCTTGTCTCAAATGTTTAAGTCGTTGCATAATATTTGAACTTGAGTAGATTGATAAACCCACACTATTATAAAGAATTTGTTTGGTTTTGGTCAAGATAACCAATTCTTTTCATCTGCACTGCAAACCATGTTCTCCAAAGCTTGATTTTGAAAATTACAGTGAGAGGAGAAGCACATCTCTTGACATTTGATATATTTTGTCAATTTACTTGAAGATTATGAATTATAAGTTAATTTAGTCGCATATAAAGCTTTTTTTTTAATAGTAGATCTGGCACTCGAACTAGTCCTTGCTCCACAATTGGAAATGTCTTACTCATAGCTGCCCATACATCAATAGTGCGATCAATTTTAGTTTTTTTTTCAAATATTTGCAGTGATCCCACTATATGATGAAATGCCCCTGTATTATAAGAGTAGGCAATAACTTATATTACTCTTATGTGTCATGATGGTTATCGAGTTCTTTGTTTCTTGCGGGTCATCTTCACTTATAGTTGTTGGTTGATCAAGCTGTTGGCAAAGTATCTTTATTTATTCAAATGTCAAATCTGAAGACTTGGTTTAATTTGTATCCACTATATGGACTTTCTAGTTTGTTCCTTTTTTGGACTATAGGCTTTTCAAATTTTTGGTTTTTCGATGTATCGCATAGCTTTGATCATGGGTGTGATATGGTTTGTAATAGTGCTCACGCTTCATTTTTTTATTTTCTCTCAGTGGTTACAACTTGTAGGTGACTGTTGTTGTGGAGCCAGCAAGTACTGATCATTGGGTATCTGTTTGGCTCATCATTTCTTGTTTTCGCTTTTTCTCTCGCTAATTACTCAAAGGTGTCTCTAAGTGTAAGAAAATGCTTTATTCCAAGTAATCTTTTCTGAGCTTTATTTAAATCAGAATTGAGATCTTGGAGGAAATCATTTGCCTGTGCTTTCTCAAACTTTTTTTTTGATATATTTTTCAGCGTCATTTGAGAAATTTCATTTGATTTCATAGGATATATCCATTTCCACAGTTTCGGTTAGAGAACTGTAGTACCTTGTCGGGTATGTCTAATGTTGGATCTAATATTCATACACTTAGTTGTTTTCTAGATTAGAGTTATTAGTCAACATCCTAGATATCCTTCGTAGTTTTGTAGAAGAGGTAATATCTTATTACCTTTGGCTTCGTAAACCAAGCCATGATAATTGAGTTGTCAGATTCCTCTTTCTATTATCACAAGCATGGTTTATTTGAATTATTCACAAAGTAATTTAATTAAGTTTGTATCGTGTGATTTGGAGAGAATGATCTTTATATGTGGGATGAAATTTTGATCCATAATGGTGTTAGTGAAGGTTGCGCTTCTTGTAAAGGAGAGTTCATGACCTTTCATACTGTGTCGTAATTTTCACTAGAATTTGAAAATTTTTGAGAGAATTATCTATTGTACTTTTTACTGATTTTTAGGGGATATATAAAGCTTTACATCTAAGCAGTAGTCGAGACTAAGTGAATTACATATGTTTTTTCTTTTGCAGCCTACTATGCCTAGTGGTTGAGAGTTCTATCTCAAACTCATTGTCCCGAGTTCAAGGCACAACAAATACAGTGTGTCATGAGCTTCGAAAAGAAAAAAAAAACATGCTATGTATTTTCCTTTTTTCAAGTACAAATTATGGCTTGAATGAATGCCTTTAATCAACATGTTATTAGATCAATGTATAGATGGTATTCTTTGATGCTTAGAGAATGGGAAAAAAATTGAATGTTAGTTCCTACAAATTCATGAATGTGAGTGAGTTATGCCGACAAGGGATATTAGAGTAGAATTTTAACAAAACAACAATCAAGAATTACTGAGAAGAATTTTGGAGGCAAAAAATAACAAAATGAATATTGTTGATGTAAAGGAAGCACCAAAATACACACGACACAACTCCACCCAGGCTACCAACTCTAGGATAAGGAAGATGAATGGATAGTGCAACATTCCCAAAAGAAAGAAAGAAAAATTTTAAAATCAAAATCTACGCCTATACTCAAACAATCCCCTATTTATAAACACTATGTCTTTTCTTATTACAAAGTTTGACATTCAAATAGAAAACACATAAAAATAAAGAACTAAAATATAATAACTGAACTGTAATATAATGTGGACAATACTGGTACTGACATTCCCACGTTATTCTCCTGGGGTTGGATAGGATTTAACTTGGATCTCCAATTCCGACTAAGAGATATTGAAATTAATGGAGTCGTTTTAATCCCCAGATAGGTTAAGATCGGTCATCCAAACATCTGTCCTAGTTACTACATTCATTAGATCAACAATATCATGGAAATGTGCAACTTTCTCTGCCCTTCGAGATTCATCAATACTGAATTTAACTTTCTCACGCTTACCATTTGATCTTGGTGCAACCTCAAACCCTTGGTTTTAGTGTCTTGACATGCAACAATAATAACCAGTGGCTTTGCATCCGTTTCCATATATGATCCTATCCTATGATCACCACCAAATCACTCTCCCCATGCTTACGATGAAGTGGTTCTTTAACACGCTCAATATTTCTAATCACATCAACATTACCACTTTCATTCTCTGCGAATAGGATCACCACCAAATCACTCTCCCCATGCTTACGATGAAGTGGTTCTTTAACACGCTCAATATTTCTAATCACATCAACATTACCACTTTCATTCTCTGCGAATAGGATCACCACCAAATCACTCTCCCCATGCTTACGATGAAGTGGTTCTTTAACACGCTCAATATTTCTAATCACATCAACATTACCACCCTCATTCTCTGCGAGAAGTGATTGGATGTGTAAACCAAGTTCTCTATCATGATAATTCCAATCCCAACTAGAGCCTGCTTGAATATTTGCAGATCCATCAAGAGCTGAATTATTTACATCAACTATGCAAAATTCAGATTTGGCTGCATTTTGTGTAGTTGCACTTGCAACTGTAGCTGCTTGATCACAAACGTCAGTCACACTTGAGCGAATACGCTTCATTATCAAATTGATAATTCAACGATGATTTGAACTGCCTAAAAGTTTGAGAAGTATATACTGCTGGTGCCTTGATGGAGAGGCTTTTAAGATCGATTTAGAGTATTTTTTTAGTTCAAATAACCATGGGAGAAAACGCCATCTATATTTCTTTATATTTGCCAACACATCTTATTGATTTGATGCCCTATTCATCTTTTGCACTTGGTTTTCTGCTTTTTCTGAATGAGTAGCTGCCCTTCCTTTGTTGCTTAGCTCCTTGTTGTGGCTTTTATTCAATGTTTATCCATTTAATATTTTTATCTATTCATTAATATATAACTAAACCTGTATATGAGGCCATTCAGCATTTTCTTCCCGAAAGTTTTCTGATCTTATGCTTTTCATCTGCAAGTTTGGGTCCATTTTTTGGATTGAAATTTATTGTGGAAATTGTTGTTTTGCTCGTAAACAGAATACTTGTTTAATTGCCTATTGCAATGTAGGTATAACATTCCAAGGGTTTAGAGATAAAGCTATCATCATCTCATTAAGTTATTAATTTTAAAATGATTTGTTTTCCCCAACTTCATCTCAATCACGTTTTTTAATATACTTCAAATGGATTAATATTTGTATCACTTACCTGTTTATACTGGTTTACTCATCTTAGCAGGATTGATGATGAGGAAGATGGACCAGAGTTTAATGATCAAGATGTGCAGAGGCTCATTATTGTCACCCAAGTTAAGGTAGCAACATGCTTTATTTTTCTTAACAATTCTTATTCATCTCGTTTTTCTCCAATTTATGCATTTGATAATAGGCTTTGTTCTTGTTGTTTCTGAACGATAGAAAATGTCATGAGATGCGAAGAAAAGTTTCAAATAAACATGTTCGGATGCAACTTGCTTTAGTTCTTTACATGTAAGATGCTTGATTCTTTATGTGCTGCGTTGTTGGATCCATTCTCCTTAATTAATTAAATATAATTTTTGATTTTTTAAAATTAGAAAATGGATGATTTTTAACATTCTTATATTTTTTGCTGAAAGATCCAGTTTTAAAAACTTCTATGCTTTAAACATAAAGCTACATTAGAGATAAGAAAATGAATATAATAATGTAGAACAAGTAAAAAAAAAAGCAATTAAGTTGTGAAATAATAATAGAGCCTGATCATGAATACAAATGAATGAGCTGTTCAATGTTCAAGTTTGTTCAGCATGTGTTAAGGTTGAAAAGTGCTCGCACTATTTGAAAATTGTGCCAAAAAATTAGAATTAGTCAACAAATATGCAACCAAATCATCAATAAAAGAAACATTTTATCCATCTTCTAGTTAGCGGCTCGTTAATCAACAAATGATTATTTTCCATAAATTAAGGAGTTCAATCAATGTTCAAATTTATTTCTCTTTGTTTTGAACTGGAAAAAAGATATATTCAAATTTGTTCAATCATTCAAATAAACTAACATAAGTGAGCCTTGTGAGAATGAGTACAAACTTCTTCATTAAGTTTGCTTGTTCACTTTACCACTCTAAATAGCAATTCTACAGGCCAACCCACACTAATTTCTTTTCACCACAGCAGTTTGTTGTAGAAAGTTGCCACAACAAAGTTTGACTCCATTTGAGCTATGTTGATAAATTCAATTACATTTAATTGTTTGTCTTGTCCCTAATGATGAAAGGCAGCATGTTTGATGTACCTTCTCAAACGTGCTCCAGTTAAGTTGCTTTGGTTTATGTTTTTTTTTTATTTAAGTTCTTGTCTTTCGTTCCATGTTCTTGTTCATTTTCTCATTTCAAGCCATACAGTTCTTGTTATTAAGGTTTTAATTTTTGTCACTGTTTGTGTGGTTCTTTCTTGATTTTAATTTTGGGTGATATGGCCACAATGAATGTTTCGTGACTTTTAAGAAGTCAAAACCCATATAATTGACTTTGTTTGATAAAATGTGACTTATGCGATTGATTAAGGATTAAAGATTTTTTCTTGATTGCGCTTTGTTCTTCTAGTTTTCACTGTATACTCTGATTAACTATGTCTCAGGGAAATGCTTTTCTTTTGTCAAATCTAACTACTTGCAGGATATCAGGATAGATAACGATGAAATATCTGGCTTGACGAAAACAGATCCCATATCTAATGAGCTAGCCACAACGATAGATGATGGGCTCTATTTTTTTGAGCAGGTAATAACTATTTTTCTTATTTGAGGCAATCGCCCATATATGTAATGGTGTTTTACATTATGAAGGCAGAAACAACACTGCTGATGCATAAGAAATGATCATTTAGTGGATGTCTGTGGCTCATCAACTGTAATAGGCCTGTGGAACTTACCGTGATACCCTCTTTTTTGACTCGTAGTTGTGCTTCGTTTTATTATTCTGAAATTCACGCGTCAGATAAAGTTGGACTCTATTGTGCAGTTCAGCTGAAAATCATGCTATGATTAGCTGTGTTTGTTGACCCTAAGCGTAGAATGTAATTTGATATTCTTATTTGCATGATTTAGAACTAACTAATTCTGGATGTTATTCCATTATCATGATCTACAATCTCTTTCATCCTTGTGGGTGCGATTGTGTGTGAACTAATTGCTTATAATCATGTGATAATCAGGAGCTGCAGGGCACACGATCTGCTGGTCCTAGTAATAATTTAAGTACCGATATTATAGAAGGTGATTCCAGATGCTCTAACCAGGGGCAGACTTCTCAGATTTCTAAACTCAATGCAAAAAACTGTGGATATAATGGCTTAGAAGATGGAGGACACCTTAATTCTCGAAGGCGGCAAAACAAAGGTGGTAACAAGTCACACCTATCACATAAGCAACGTCTATTCCCAGGTAATTATAAATTGTATGGCAATGGACGTAATCGACACTATATTGTGTCGGAAAGCCCCCCAAGCAGTTCGATTGGATTCTTCTTTGGTTCAACACCACCTGAAAATTCTGGGTAGGTACTGCTTGTCAATTTGCTGCGAATTCTAGTTTCAGAAGTGATTTAATTGTTTGTTTGAGGCTTTTTATAATTATATTTCATTTATTATGAATTGTAGCTTGCTGCAATCAAAATTAATTGGCTCTCCCCATGGAAACCCTGTTGGGAGTAGTAGCCCATCTGTGGGATCTACGCCAAAAGCTTTCCCCCATTTTCCCCATCCAAGTCATCAATTATTGGAGGAGAATGGGTTCAGACAACAAAAGTAATTAGCCTCGTCTTTAAAGTTTCTTACATAAAAGTCCATTTATGTTACCTTCTCCGGTGTAAGTGCTTATTCCTTCATTATTTTGACATTCTTTTATGTAGATATCATAAATTCCACAGACGTTGTCTTGGCGAACGAAAGAAGTTGGGGATTGGCTGCAGCGAGGTGAATTTGCACTGCTATTACTTGTGTTTTATTTCTTTTTTTATGCAGAAATAAGGATTTAATATATTCATATTTGTTATCCAAATTCATGTTTTTGTAGAATCGCAAATCTGCATCTTTTTATTTTTTTTTACTTTAAGCTAATCGTTAATTTTTTGCTTATTTCATAGAAATAGCTAAACATTTTCCTTTTTGGTCCCATAATATTTTTGTACAGGAAATGAATACACTCTACCGGTTTTGGTCTTATTTCCTGAGAAACATGTTTCACGAAAGTATGTACAATGAGTTTCGTAAGCTTGCACTAGAAGATGCAGCTGCCAATTATTATTATGGTCTGGAATGTCTTTTCAGATTTTACAGGTATACCTTTTATTTAGAGTTGACTCCGAGCTATATCACTTCTTGTTAGCGAGCCGAGCCCACTGATATGATTTTATTTATTTTATTAGTTATGGGTTAGAGAAGGAGTTTCGTGATGATTTGTACGATGACTTTGAGCGGCTTGCTCTGGAATTCTACCACAAAGGCAATCTTTATGGCCTTGAAAAATATTGGTAATCCTTTATCCTGGTGCAAGTCAATCATTTTTTTTTAATTTTTATGGGGCATTTACATATATAGTACACATTTTTTATGTTTACTTGTCTAAACACCTAAAATTTCATATTTTACATGAATAGCATTCAACTTTTTAACGTCACGTTAAATACACCACTATTACCACATAAGACTGAAATATACCTATACTTGCAATAGTTTATGACACCAAAGTGTTAAAATATGAAAGTTATTAGTGTTAGATATGTAAATACATGAAATTGAGTGGCATGCATGTAAATATTCCTGTTTTTTTGTCAAGTTCATTGGAAAGAAATTTTTTTCGTAAGAATATCCCGTTGGACCATATTATTCAAATGGGTTGGTTCCATAAACCCATTGAATTTTTTTTAAGATAACTATAATATATATGCTAAAATCAATCAAAATTTATATTGTACCACTCTTTGACAAACAAAAAAAAACTGATCACAATATACTTACTTTTTAAATTCAAAACAAAGCTTCCCTATAAAATTCTTTCTCATGAATTCTTAACAACTTCCATCAAGAACTGAATCAGTGTTTCTACATGGCAGGGCCTTCCATTTATATCGAGATCAGAATAAACCCATAAAGATGAATGGTGAGTTGGAGAAGCTGCTCAGCGAAGAGTATCGAACCCTCGAAGATTTCAGGGCAAGCGGAGATAAGGCGGAAAAGGTGGCGGCGTACAAAGAGGTCACCGCCACTGGTGGCGGCTGCCGCACCCTGCTCAGGCTTGCAGTTCCAGTGAGAACTGTAAGGAGCCTGAATCATGCTGAAGGGCAAATTGGCAATCAATTTTTTTTTCTTTTTGTTGTGAGGGGAGGGGATTAGGATTGCCATTGCTGTGCGTTTTTTGGTCCTCTGCTAATGGTAATATGGCTGTGGATTGGAATTGTTTTTTTTCTTTTTTTTTTTAATTTTCTCAATCCTAGATTTGTACATAATTCCGGGAAAGAGATGGAAAAAAGAAAAAAAAAAAAAGGAAAAAAAAATTTGTGTATTCGGGATTGCGGAAATTGACTAATAATAGAGTTTAGAATTAGTCAATTAGGTGATGGTATTTGGTGCACCGTTTATGTTTTTTCCTTCTACTATATTATTTATGATTCTTTTATTTAATTTAATTTGCTGTTGATGAATCTTATATATGCACATAGTTATGATTTGTTCATCACCATATTGTATTATTGCTTAATCTGAATTTTCATCGGCGAAAAGAAACACTGCCTTGCATATTTCTAAAAATATTTATGTAATAACAGAAATGATGTATTTCTATTAATGCTCTTATGTTACAATTTTTTAGAGTTTCTTATAAATGTCAGATATGTTATTGCTCCAGAGAAGCAGTGGTGATTGTACTTGGTAGATATGATTATTTAAAAATTAGATATTATTATAAAATTAAGGTATAGAAATAACAAAGAAGCGAAAATTTTAGGGCAAATAGAAAGAAGCTTTTTTTCAGAAGGCACAGCTAAAAGTGAACAGAACTTGAAATATGTATTTTAACTTTTAGAAATTGATGGTAGTGTTATATTTTCAATGTGGGTGTTTAAGAGATTTGAATGTTGGGTGTACATATGAGAGTTTAGGTGTTAGATTTGTAAATACATAAAAAGTTTGTGCTTATGTATTTAAATGCTCTTAAAAATTATTGGATATGCACGCAATTTTCTAAACAAACACAGTTATTTGTCGCGGACAAAAAGTCTAACATCAATTAGGTGAAAACCGAAGAGCAGCATTAAGTCCGGGCTACCAACCTCTTTTAAGTTTTTTTTGAAGGTGATAAGTGTTATCAGAGCAAATTAATGTTTAACAGGTGTGTAAATTTTCCTTGTTCCAGTGGGGCCCCCCGGAGGAGCCAATCCGTGACGAGAGCATCATGTGATTGGATGAAGGAGAATGTCACAGAAAAAAAACCCCACATCGGTTAGGTGTAAGGCCAAGAGCAATATTAAATCATGGGCTGTCTACCTCTATTAAGAGCTCTTTTGGGAAGTGACGTATTGCTCAAACTGATATCTAGAATGAACATATTA